CCTATGAGCTCAGTGTACGTATAATACCATTCTGTGAATCGGGCAGTTAGTCAGACCCATCTCTTCTGATGACAAATGTCACACCTATCACATAGGAGTCCTTCCCATGTAAGCAACATCTGACCGAATTCATTCTTCTATACAACTGGGAAAGATACAGGAGTTCTGCTCCTAATAAAGATGGGAATAATATGTGAAAATATTCTAAAATGCAAAAGAATGTTTACTATCAAGTAACCCTGATGAAATGAATCCTGGATTGATAAGAAACTTTGCAGTTATACCCTTAACGGATCGACCCCGCGCCAATAACGAAGCTTGTTTTACGCATGCGCGGGGGTCCGCCATCTTTACAAAATGTTTTGTAAATATTTACGAAATTTCGTAAATACCAAAACTTTTTTTGGGAAAATTTTGTAATTATTTTAAATATCGAAACAAAAAAACACCCCAATTACAAATCGATTTTAGAAACAAATTTTTTCTTGATCAAACAGGCCTAATAGATAGATTACATAACGAAGGATATGTGTGCTAGATTTGGTCCATTTCCATCAAGCCATGGAGGAGGCTTTGTGGTACAAACCAACTCAACCAAATACATACATACAAAAAAAGTCAGAAATACTAAGTTCTTGTGGGTTTTTTCCACAGATATATAAACCCATTTTTCCTACTTCCAACAGACCTCGCACCTCTGAGGATGCTTGCCATAGATGCAGGCGAAACGTCAGGAGAAATGCCTCTAGAACATGGCCATATAGCCCGAAAAAACCCACAAGAACTTAGTGATTCCAGCCATGAAAGCCTTCGACAATACACATCCAGTGTTGTCGGCCGCCTTCAGTCTGGAGAGAAAGGCGTGTCCTCAGAGGCACTTCCGGAATGGATTGCAGTCCCCCTCACCCATTTCAAGCTTGTCATAATGGAGTCAGGAGGCTAGTGATGACGTAAGGCCCAAGCGGCGACCAATCCCCGTCTAGGCTGCGAGTCTCGTGGTTGCTAGGAGACGGTGAGGCACAAACGTTGCCATAGAAACCGAACCGCCGCGTCCCTGTTCGCGCCCCAGAGAGAGAGAGAGAGAGAGAGGTGAGGCCGTGGCCTTCGTTTGAGAAAGAGAGAGAGGAAGATGTGACTGATGTGCCCGATATGTTTGATTAGATTTTGCCTGATGTGTTTGTATTTGTATATATGGTACATGCCGTGTTTATATATATTGTCCCTGAGGTAGCTCTCCTTTGCCCTCCACCTTCTCTGCTCCCCATAGAACGACGCTGTGAGTAACTGCAGAGAGAGCGAGGGCTGAGGCCTACCAGAGCTGCGTCTACACCAGGCATTTTCAACCTTTGGACCTCCAATTCCCAGAAGCCCCAGCCAGCTTGCCCAATGCTCAGGAATTCTGGGAGTTGGAGGCCGAAATTCTGGAGGTTGAGGAGGCCTGATCTACACTGTATATAGAGATTATTATTATTATTATTATTATTATTAAACTTTATTTGTACCCCACTACCATCTCCCCAAGGGACTCGGTGTGGCTTACATGAGGCCGAGCCCACAATACAACAATAAATTATTATTATTTATTTATTTATTTCACAGTTTTCTATACCGAGCTTCTCAACCTCATTGAGGGACTCAGCCCGGTTTCCAGCCATAAAAAACATATACACTCATTAAAATATCATATATCACAATTACAAAAACAACTTTAAAAACACTATATATAAAACTACAGTAGTCAGTCGCCTATTAAGATGGATCTACATCAACTTCCATCCAGGGTCCTATGGTGTTGTCTCATTCATCGAAGGCCTGACTCCACAGCCACGTCTTCCTAAATGTTAGGATGGATGGGGCGGTTCTGGCCTCCAGAGGGAGAGAGTTCCAGAGTGGCGGGGCCACCACCGAGAAGGCCCTGTCCCTCGTCCCCACCAGGTGCGCTTGCGAGGCCGGTGGGGCCGAGAGCAGGGCCTCTCCAGATGATCTTAATAATCTTGATGGGTCATAGGGGAGAATACGTTCAGAGAGGTAAACAGGGCCAGAGTCGTTTAGGGCTTTATAGGTCAACACCAGCACTTTGAATTGTGCTCGGAAGCTAATTGGCAGCCAGTGGAGCTGGCGTAACAGCGGAGTGGTGTCGTCCCTGTACCCAGCCCCCGTTAGTAATCTGGCTGCCGCGCGTTGGACTTGCTGCAGCTTCCGGGCAGTCTTCAAAGGCAACCCCACGTAGAGAGCATTGCAGTAGTCTAAGCGGGATGTAACCAAAGCGTGTACTACCGTGGCCAAGTCAGCCCTTCCAAGGTACGGACACTGAGAAACACTGATCTAACACTGTACTACCGTGTACTGTACTACCGTGGCCAAGTCAGCCCTCCCAAGGTACGGACACTGAGAAACACTGATCTAAAACTGTGAAATAAATAATAATAATAATAATAATAATAATAATAATAATATTAACTTTATTTGTACCCCGCTAGCATCTCCCGAAGGACTCGATGCGGCTTACAAAGGCCAAGGCCTCAATAGACAACATAACAATACAAACCTAAAGCAAATTTAAAACAAAGCAATATTAAACAACAAAACAACAAACAATCAACAATACACCAAAACACAATAAAAACTGGGCCGGGCCAGAGTAATGGGTACAGAATTAAAAGTGCTGATGTGACAGGTGGTATATAAGGATTATAGGGTAAGTGCAGTGTGCAGTGTGCGGCAATCTTAGTTCTAATAAAGTGCTTCTGGGACTTGGTATTGGAGATTTCCTATTCTGGGAAGGCACATCGGAACAGCCAGGTCTTCAAGTTCTTTCTAAAGACTGCCAATGTAGGGGCCTGTCTAAGATCTTTGGGGAGGGTGTTCCAGAGTCGGGGGGCCACCACAGAAAAGGCCCTGTTTCGTGTCCTCACCAAACGCGCTTGCGACACAGGCGGGATCACAAGCAGGGCCTCTCCAGATGAACGAAGTGAACGCATGGGTTCGTACACGGAGATGCAGTCACGCAGGTAGGATGGTCCCAAACCGTTCAGGGCTTTGTAGGTAAGCACCTGCACCAATAAAACAATAGCAACAGTAATACAACAATAAATAAAACTCATAAACAGAAAATAGCAATAAACATTAACAATAACACAACGACGTTTAAAAACCTATGGCAAGGCCAAATGTACTAATTAAAATTTTAAAAAATAATACTGGGCATGATCAGGTGACCTATAAACAGGATAGAAATTTTGGAGAGGGATTTATTTGTCGTGTCAGGACAACCAGTCAAATTATATTACATTTCTAACAGAACAAAGCAAACAAACAAAATACAAAATTTGTGAGTTTGGTAGTTGATTAAATGTCCTTTGACCAGTATCTGGCCACTTGGAGTGCCTCTGGTGTTGCCGCAAGAAGGTCCTCCATTGTGCAAGTAGCAGGGCCCAGGTTGCATTGCAGCAGGTGGTCAGTGGTTTGCTCCTCTCCACATTCGCATATCGAGGATTCCACTTTGTAGCCCCATTTCTGAAGGTTGGCTCTGCATCTTGTGGTGCCAGAACGCAGTCTGTTCAGCGCCTTCCAAGTCGGCCAGTCCTCTGTGTGCCCAGGGGGGAGTCTCTCATTTGGTATCAGCCATTGGTTGAGGTTCTGGGTTTGAGCCTGTCACTTTTGGAATAGATTTTAAACAGAGGCTGGATGGCCATCTGTCAGGGGTGATTTGAATGCAATATTCCTGCTTCTTGGCAGGGGGTTGGACTGGATGGCCCATGAGGTCTCTTCCAACTCTTTGATTCTATGATTCTATGAATTTTTTCAAATTTTGTTACATAGTGTAATTAGTATATAAAATACTTGTAGTATATAAAATACACATATTAAAATGTATTTTTACAATATATATATATATATTGAAATGCACAGAACAAAGATGAAAACATAGTGAACACAAGACGCAAGTTTAAAATTCATGATTAAAACTGGCTGGGTATGCCTGGTCTCCAGAGACAAATGCGCCAAGTGCTCTGCAAAGCTCTCTGCGGGTTGTTTATTTCTATTGTGCTCCAGGTGGCACCAAACCAGCACACATGGACAGATAACGTTATAGTGAGGACCTGCCACATTGTGACTATGTTTAATGCACATTTTAGATTAAACCGTGTGTTTATTGCTGGGTCCTGTAATTATACAAGCAGTGACATGACGGACACCACAGCTTTGAAGTGTGTTTCACAATAATCCATTGGTTTCCTGCCCACTAACTGGGAATTGAACTTAAGAGTCTCAGAGAAAGAGCAACCATTTGTGTGGTAATATTACAACTCTAGCCTATATGTTTTGTTCTGTGGAAACTAATTGTCAGGAGGAGTGCTTTGCTCTAAAATTAGTTGCACTTGATACAGTTGGCTCCAGGACAATCCCCACCCTACTGGAGCTGTCACTAATATTTGATAATGTTTTGAAACTGCCAGGAAGTTGTAAATTATTATTATTATTATTATTATTATTATTATTATTATTATTATTATTATTATTTCAGGCACTTCTACCCCGCCCTTCTCAACCCCCTAGGGGGGACTCAGGGCGGCTTACAACCAGCACAATTCGATGCCAACAATTCAACAGATAAAATACATAACAACAATAACCACAAGTTAAAACATTGAATTAATATAATAACAACTAAAAGCCAATCTAGTGGCCAACGTTCACTGAATTCTAAAATCCATAAGTCCATTCAGCATTACCATAGTCCTTTCCAAATTTTGGTCATCATTACCTTGTCAGTCTGCCAGATTACCCAAAGGCCTGGTCCCATATCCATGTTTTCAGCTTCCTTCTGAAGGAGAGGAGGGATGTTGATGACCTAATTTCCCCGGGGAGTGAGTTCCACAGGCGAGGGGCCACCACTGAGAAGGCCCTGTCCCTCGTCCCCACCAGCCTCACTTGTGATAGAGGCGAGGCCGAGAGCAGTGCCTCCCCAGAAGATCTTAAGCTCCGAGGTGGGACATAGAAGGAGATACGTTCAGACAGGTACGCTGGGGCAGAGGAAGTTAATTAGGAAGAAATAAGTAGAATTCTTTGGTGGGGGTAAATCCAGCCACAGAAGCTTCCCAATGCCACCCAAAGAATGTGTGTGTGTGTGTATGTGTGTATATACATACCTGCTCTGACTTACAAACAAATTCAATTTAAGAACAAACCTACATAACCTATCTTGTTCGTAACTTGGGGACTGCTTGTACATTGCAATTACTAAGGGACAAACAACAAGGGACTTTTTGATCTTCTTGTAGAGTCTTGGAAGTGTTCTTTGTCAGAAAGATATGGCATATTAGGATAAATGAATTTTTGGTCCAGTGATCCACACTGTTGAGGTTATCAGATAATGTAAGGAAGGTATGTAGGTTATAGAAGTATATCAAATTATGTGTAGAGCGAAGTCTGCTATAAAATGATACTAAAAGACAAAGAATGTGTCATGAAAGCAAACAAATCCATAAATAAGAGCATGCTAATCAGAGAAAAGGGTGGCATTTCTGTCATCACATACATTCCTGATCTGAAAAGTCAGGATGCTGCAGCAGACAGCATTGTAGGTATTTTATATTGGGTTTAAATATTCAGAATGTCAGTAAAAAGAAAGGTCTCTCAAAGTCTGTCAAGAGGCATAGTAACCACAGTGGGAATTCTAGACAGATAGAGGCAAACTTCAGAGAAAGGTTTTGTCATACTCTTCTTTTTAACTTCTTGAAAGCATCAGCTTAGAAGCATACTGTTAGTAATGAAGGCAATAGTAGGGACCTAAGTGATCCTGTAGCCAAGGCACAAATAATGTTTGCAGAAATGTAGCATGTCTAGATTTTTGTCACTGTATCATTGTATAGCTATAAACCAACAATAGTTGTATAGTTTTTGGTAAATGATGTTGATTACATGTAGCCAAACTATATAAGCTTTCATTTTTGTTATGTTTGCTGTATACTTGGGTTGTGTTGGTACTAAGTAGGTTTCTGGTTCTACTGCATAAGCAAGAGGTATATAGTTAGTGAAATAAATGTTGCCCATGAATCAAGTAAGTGCATGTTGTTGTTGTTGTTGTTGTTGTTATTATTATTATTATTATTATCTTTATTTGTACCCCGCTAGCATCTCCCGAAGGACTCGATGCAACTTACAAAGGCCAAGGCCACAATAAAACAACAATATAACAATTACATATAAACCAAAGCAAATCAAAAACATTAAAGCAGTAACTGTAAACAATAAAACAACACACCGTGATACAATAAAAACTAGGCCGGGCAAATGTAATGGGTACAGATTAAAAAGTGCTGAGTGTGCTGAGTGATATATAAGGATTTTTGGATAGGTGCAATGTGCGGACAATCTTAATCTCTAATAAAGTGCTTTTGGGACTTTATTGCTAGGGTTTTCCTATTCTGGAAAGGCACACCGGAATAACCAGGTCTTCAAGCTCTTCCTAAAGATTGCCAATGTAGGGGCTTGTCTGATGTCCTTGGGGAGGGAGTTCCAGAGTCAGGGGGCTACTACAGAGAAGGCCCTGTCCCTTGTCCCCACCAGCCGCGCTTGCGATGCAGGTGGGATCGTGAGCAGGGCAGAATTTTATTCAGCCAGGAAGCTCATAGTGCTGCTTTGAAACAATGACTCTCATCGTAGTCTATTATGATGTCACTGCACGGATGTAATAGGACAACTAAGTATGTTGGCCTGAGATCTTTGGAGAGAAGAGCAAGACAAAACTAATAAAAACTTCACTGATATCCAAGGTCCGTGATGATTTTTCTCATTTTATTTCTTTTATGCAGACATTTATTATAAAATTCATCAATTTCTTCCAGTTCTTTTAGATTTTTGGCTTGGGAGATAGAATAACCATGCCTGTTCCAGATGTTATGTTCTGTGCACAACAGATTCATGTTCCCCCTGAACTACCAGATATTATGAAACAATTTACCAAGGCTGCTATCAGGACGCAACCACGTGATGTACTCCAGTGGTCTTATGGGTGAGTAGGAGTAACTTGATGGGTAACTTCTGCATAGAAATCCATGTCTGTACACCCATTGCCTTTGTTCTGTTAAAGAGATGATGACTCTGAAAAGGCCCGTAGCCAGGATTTCGGGGGGGGGGGGCGGGCTGAATTTTTTTCAGGGGGGGTTTCGGGGGGGCTGAGTTTGGGGGGGGCTGAGTCTGAGTGAAAGAGGGTCTACCCTAGCAAACCTTTTGTATCATTACCCCAATACCCCCATGCATATGGGATATATTGAATATGGTGATCAGATCATGATATGAATAAACATAACAGTTTAAATAATGCATCAGTAAGGCCTTCTCGCGAACCACCATGAGAATTTTTTGGGGGGGGCTGAAGCCCCTCAAGCCCCCCCCCTCGGCTAAATGCCTGACTCTGAATGTATGTGGGTATTGCAATAATGTGGTGGGACTAATCCACCCAAGTCCTGCTCAAATCGGGTTTAAGAGTTACAGTGAAGTAAAACACAGCCACTAATGGTACAATTTATAATTTTGTTGATTACAAATAGATTTAAAAGTTAAGTCGTAGCAGATATAATTTCTTTAAATATCTTCCCATACACAGGACACCTTGGTTAGCTTCAAAAGGCATCTACAGTTCTCAGACAAGACACCAGTGTTTCTCTTTCTGAGACCGGGACAAAGAAGTACCCCCAAAGGGATTTGGGGGGGGGGGTCATATACTCTGCCAGGGCAGGCTTTCTAGAAGTAGTGGTGACACAGGTTGGGAAAGGGCTGTAATCCCAGCCCACTTTCTTCATATTTTTTGGGAGAAAGTATTTTTTTCTCTCTCAAAGTGAGATGTCTTGATCAATGCTAAAGCCAGTATGGCCAAGCAAATCTCTTGGGAAGATAGGTGGACAAATATTAACATTCTGGAAGAAGCAAAGACCACCAGCATTGAAGCGATGATCTTCTGCCATCTACTTCACTGGACTGGCCATGAGTGCCTGATCACCATCTCCATCTCCTATACTCTCAACTCAAGAATGGAAAACAGAATGTTGGTGGACAGCAAAATAAATTTAAATATGTGTTTAAAGCCAACCTTAAAAACTGTGACATAGACACCGAGAACTAGGAAGCCATTATACTTGAGCATTCTAACTGGAAGAGAAACGTATCAAGAGGAAGGCACATCAAGCCAATCTTGTCGGGACCACCTTCCATCTGGAAATTGATGTCCATACTGTTAAAGAACATGTGGATCCAGAATAGGACAGTACAGTCACCTATGGACTCACTGCAAAGACTATGCTTGGAAGCCAATCATACTTGGCCACAAGTGATAGCCTATGATAAAGATGGCCGAGGACCAACAGCACATCTGTCTGTAGTTATGCTACCATATTTCTGCCTTGTGCCAAATGACTGATTCAAACTCTCTAAGAAGTGTACAGAGCTCAGACAGAATCCAATAGGCCTATGATATAACCATATGTATTTGACTCATCCGTTACCCACCTTCGATGGTGCTGCCCTATCTCCATRGACCACTGTTAAGAGCTTAGGTGTCGTCCTGGATTCGCAGCTGACAATGGAAGCTCAGGTCACTGCTGCCAGCAAACAGGCCTTTTTCCATCTACGACAAGCGAGGCAACTGGCACCCTACCTATCTGACYAGGCTCTGGCAACTGTCATCCATGCCARYGTCARGTCTAGGRTGGACTATTGCAARYCCCTGTARGTMGGCCTTCRHAWGTCTARYA